TGTGGAGGAACACCGCTTGGTGGCGAGGGCAGCAGCAGCTTAGTCGGTCCTGTTCTGTTCGTCATCCACATCAGTTCTACGCTTCCAATGCTGAACGCCAGCTCGCCCAAAGCTGTGGTCCACTATGGCATGTCCTTGCTCAAGACCGACATGCTTGGAGCGGTGTGCGAGCAAAATATATCACCGAATGGGACGTTCGCTGGTGCAGTGGTCGCCAGCTCTCTTTGAGATGTTGATTCACTGTTAGTTTGCTACGATGAAGCCTCTTGTTGGGGGGCTGAGTGATTTGCAATTTGACTGCCGTCAATGTCTCGCTGAATCCTACTACAATCATGCTCATACGCATCCTGTACTCCAAGATTGACGTAATCCTGTTGTTGCAGTACATGTACGACACGAACATGCTGTTCTTGCTCACGCTCTTCTGACACATGGGTGAATGCGTTCCCTTCGTGTGTGCTTTGGCCCAGGTGCGAAAACTCTCGCAAAAGCCATCTCCCTCTGCGCCCCTTGCTCTCCATGGCGCTCGCCTTCTACCTGCATTGGGTGAGGTGCCTGGTCGCGCTGTTGCCGCTGATTGTCGCTGTCCATCGTGAAGGAGAAGAAAGTCGTGACCCCCGGCGGCCCTGGACTGCAGAAGAAGTTGCTTCCCATATTGCAGCCTTCTGGGAGAATGACACCGTGGTGGATGCCCCTCCTGGACACGATGACTGGAACGCGCAGCTGTCTGAATGGCAGTCGTCTGTGCCTGCCGCCGACTTGCCCGCCTGCCCACCTACTGTTGTCGACTCGATTGCTGAGGGAGACAACCTTCCTGTACATGCTCCTCTCTGGCCGACCTCCAACTCTTCGTCGTCGTCTTCACCATGGCCGGGGTCGACTTCTTTGTCCTCGAGTGCACAATGGCCTACCTGCTCATCGTCCTCTTCGAGCACAACCTGGGAATGGCAGCAGACTTCTGCTTCGAGCTCTTCGTCTGGGGGCGTACCATTCTATTCGCCTTCCTCTGCTTGGCCTGCCGTTTGGTCTGACGCGGTCGACTCGGGTGATGGTGCGGTAGTGTTGGACGAGGAAATTGGCTTGGCTCTGCAGTTGGGTGACCTTCAACCCTCTTGCTGTGACGCTCTTGCCCCTGTTCCGGAAAACCTACCATTGCCCTTCGCAGAACAAGCTAGTAACCACGCGGGGGAAGCTGTTGCGGACTGGCTCGAGCTTGTACGAGATCATCGCGCTCTTCGTGGGGGTGATGGTGGTCGTCGTGCTGAACCTGCTGCTCTTCCTCATGGACGTGACCCGGCCACTCTTCTGGTGGATAATGCCTTTGGCTCAGCTCCTACTACCTCTTCGACTGGGGTGACATCTCGCTTTGGTCAGTCGCGCCCTGGTATCGACAGATGGCACAACCCCAATGGCACGATTCGCATTCGTGCTCGGGAACGCCGCGAAGCTCAGGTGACGGGTGAGGTTTCATCGACCAGCTCTTCTTCGGAACAATTACCTGTCCCACCCTTCACTGTCGTTGGTGTTGGGAGTGTTGATGGTGAACCCACTGTAAAGGCGACGAGCTTCTATGGTGAAACCTTTGATGTCTGGGCTAGTGCTAGTGCTTTAGGTGCAGAAGCCTCCACCACAGCGGGGAGTACGACTTCGGGCACCGATGACGAGACTTCCGGTGCCAACTCGTCCTGCACTGATGACGGGCCTGGCTTTTGGAAGCATGGTGAGTGGCAAGCTAGATGTCGGTCACCTGCAGAGCTTCGTGCCCATCGGGGTGGAATGGGACCTCAACGAATGGCTCGTAAGCAAAGCCGTATGCAGGCTTACCTTGGTGGCACTTGGAAACCGGCATGGCTCCAAAGGTATGCGGCTGAGAAAGCAAGTCGTCAGCGAGCTATGGAACAAATCCGTGAGGAGAATGTTGAGATGGCGTCGGAGCCCATCGTGGACCCCAAGATCATGGCTGTTTTCTTGGGACGTTCTGTTGAGAGGGACACCTCGTCCGGCTCTGTACCTGTTGATGACACAAGCGGCAACGTGGCTGGGGTGAGTGTTAACACTTCTGTTGAACAGGACTGGGATCCATGGTCTGGTCAGCAGTGGAACATGGGATGGTGGTCCAATGATGCTGGTGCTTCGTCGTCTTGGGATGCACACTCCTGGAGTTCGTCTTCCTGGAACTCCTGGTCGTCTTGGTCGGCAGCATGGTGGCAAACTGAATGGACATCTACTACATCGTCCTCCACTCCTCCTGCTGTACCTAACTTTGGTCTTGACCCGCAGGTTGTTGCTGCTACGACCACCACGGTCACCCTCATGCAGATGACGGGTTCGGAGCGAGCTCGTCTTCAAGAGGCAGGTGTTGACCGTGAAGGAATCGATCGTCTGGAGAACTTTCTACATACCCTTGATGTGCACAATGATGAGGATCGAGGCCCTGAGTCGCGTTGGGCATTGGGGCGACTGTTGGTGCGCATTGAGGATGGGATGGCTGTCGTAGAGGCTATGTATGAAGTCTTGGTTCGACGCCTACAACCTCGTGGCTTTCTCCCTCTTCAACGAGTACCAACTCAAGAACTCCAACGGTGGCATTTGTTCAATTGGGCTCGTAACCTGGCGACCACTTTCGCTGAGAACTTCGACCGACATCTTCAAGTACGCCTCCAGGCTGGTGAAGACCAACAGCCAGGTGATGTAAACCAAGCTCCCCCTGCGGATGTGGATGGTAACAATGTGCACATTGAAGCCAGTGCGGGTTCTGAACCTCAGGCTCCTGAGATTGTGTCTGGGGGTGGTGGGTCCGAAAGGTCACGCAGTAGAAGCCGCAGTCGCTCGGGTCTGCGAAGCAGCACGGACAGCTCCTCCAGTGAAAGTCGGAGGTCACTAAACAGTGAGATGGCGTACAACGAGCATGGACAACTGGTGTGCATTCCTCCTGCTCGTCCTGGCACCCCACCTCGTGGCCCTCCGCCTCCTTCCCCGGTCAATCGTCCCCGACCTGCTCGTGATGATCCGCCGATTCCAGTTCATGGTTCAGTGGCTCAAGCTCTGGCGGGGGAACTTCTTGGTATCTGGACTGAGAACCCTTCGTCGGCTTCTGGCTCTTCGACGACCTCTACGACAATGCTGTGGGTTGACGATCATCCTGATGATCATCTTGGTTTGTGGCAGACTCGCGCTTGGGTGGCTTCGTTATCTACTACGACCACAACTACGTCGTGGACCTCATGGACGTTGGGTGAGGTAGAGAACCTCCTGTGCACGACAAGCACCACGTCTACACGGGTGACGCCTGAGGATGTGGTTAGAGACGCTGTTAACAGGGAGCTTGTCTATGCCACTACAAGTGATGTACTGGAGGTCCTCCATCGCCTACAATCTCGCCAGCGTCGGCTGAATCACCTCTCTAGGCTCCTGGGCATTGCGGTCGAAGAGGCCTTACTCTGGCTCCCTGTACCGCAGCATTCATTGATTTTCAATGGCCCGAATATGGAGACGCGCATCTGGGGGCATGTTCGTCGTGAAGCTGCACAAGGATTGGGGATTGCTACTGCTGGTACGACACAGATTGTCACGGCCCCTGCTGTTCTACTTCAACCTGGGTTCCCGAGCACGCTGCAGCAGGTATGGGACGCTTTACCCCACATGGCGAGGCATACTATAGCAGGACTTCGGCGACGAGGATGGCGTGCACATGTTCGTGATCTTCATGCAGCTGCTGGTCGAGATGTTCCTCTTGGTCATTGGCCTTCCGAAGATGATGAAGAGCTGTATCTGGTGCAAGCTGATGAAAACCAGTTGGTTGACAATGCCCCGTCTGATGCAGTGCTCGCTTCGGCACCGGATCGTCGGGCTGTTCGACATCGTCGTCGTCTTCACCAACCTCGTCCAGCTCCTCGTATTGTGGTGCCTGGTGGACTTGGCGATGTGGTAGGTGCTGTCCCGGCTGGTGCTCATAGTGCTCCTCGTGATCATCGTGAACGCAGTCGTAGTCGCGACCCCCACCCTGCTGTGCCCGCGGCTAGTCATGGGGCCCTTGGAGAAGGAGAAGGTGAAGGTACCTCGTCTGTGTCGTTGTTTCGTCGTCGTGCTTCTGTCCGCACAAGTCGACGACGTGGCAGTGGTTGATTGAAGGGCGACCTGTTGGGCTAGTGAGAGGCATTGTTCGTGTTTGTCCCATGGATCTGTAAGTGATCTGTGGTAGTGCAAGCCGATAACCGGCTGGACCTCTGCGGAAAAAGGCCCCATTGCACTTTAAAAAAAAAAAAACCTTCAAAAAAACCCTAAACCCCAAACCCCTAAACCCTAAACCCCTAAACCCTCAAGCCTCAAAAAAGAATCCTAAACCCTAATTAAACCCTAAACCCTCAAAACCCTAAACCCTAAACCGTGGCTTGTACGCTGGTGTTGTGCCCCACGAACCGCTCCTCGGGTGGGCGTTTAGGGGTTTAGGGTTTAGAAAGAAAGGAAGCGAATTGTACCATCACGTCCGCGCAGAGGCCGTCGCACCAGAGGTTTTCCTCTAACGGTCCCAGATACACCGGGGCCACGAATTCCTGCTAACGAGCACTTTTCAATGTCAAGGTGCAGATCGTACTTGGAGGGTCGGGGGATTTAGTAAGTAATTAGTTATCTTACAGACGCATAAGTATCATAGCCCCAATTAGGCACCCTTGTAGGGCACTTCAAGGCACTTCTAAGTCTGCTTATTGCCTACTTACTAAGTCCCCGGACCCTGCAAGTATCGTCTCAGAGCACGTTTAAGGGCAACGTACAAATAGATGGGTGCACTGTTAACCGCATGCACAATCCCTAAACCTTAAAGTCCTAATTTCTAAACCCCAGGCCCTAAACCCGACAAACCCTAAGGCCCTAAAGCCCTAAACCCGAGAAAACCCTAAAGTCTAAAGCCAGAAATCCTAAAGCCCCAAACCCTAAGCCCGAAGCCCTAAACCCTATGCCCTACTACCCTAAAGCCCGAAACCCGAAGAAAGCCAGCCGAGGATGGTAATGAGTTCGCCGCCCGCCTCTTAGCATTTGCTTGGGCGCGGTGACTATGAAATCCCTAAGGGGCGCGTGGGGTGGTTAGGGTTTCAGGGCGTTTTGGGCGTACAGGGCATACAGGGTTTATAGGGTTTATACAGTTCGTAGGATTTATAGGGTTTATCCCTGGTTCCCATAGAGTGCCCTTTAGTAGGATAGGCTCCCAGACTAGGGGATCTGCGTTTCAGATCCTGTCTGAGAAGACCTGGGAGGAAACGCGGGTTTGGGGTTTGGGGATCCCTAGAACCCGAAGACTCCAATACCCCGTAATAAGGGAATTTACCTTAAGTTATATTAAGGATCCTACCGTAATTTAAGGTATATATTCCTGAATTTAGGGATGTTGGAGTCTCTGAGAATCGCGGGAGGTTCTAGAAAGTAGATCCCTGATTTGGGATCCTATACTACCAAAGGGTACTTTGTAGGAACCCCCTTACGGGCGCTACTTTTTGGATGCTCCAGGGGGTCGGGGTTTAAGCTTGGTCATTGGTGAGGATCCTGAAAGTAGACAGTAGAAGCTTCGATTTTTCTTCCAGACCCCTTCGGGGATCTTTGTTGTCCTATACCGATGCCACGCTCATAAGCCTTGGCCAAGAGTAGAAGGACTACATGGACAGAGAGAAGGCTCGCCTGGCACAGGAGCTCCAGCAGAGCCTCAATGACATGGAGGTCCAATGGCAGAAGTACATCAACCATCGCGTTCCCATTCGGGGGGCGGGGGGGGTCCAGCTTTCGGTGGACCTCAGCAAGGCTTTCGATAATCTCCCGAGGTCCAAACTGACTGAGGCGCTCCGCAGAATCGAATCAATGTCCCAGAAGACTTAGCCCAACTAATTCTGTACATCCTCTATGCGATGCTGTTAGTCTTCAGTAACGATGAACATGTCTCTGAGCTCATAGCCACAACCGGAATCAGGTAAGGCTGTGGACTTGCCCCACTTTGTGGACAGCATTTACCTTGCTAGCAATGGAGAAGTTGGAGGCCTTTCTGACAAAAGATCAATTGTCAACATCCGCTGACGGTTACCATGTTGCCTGGGACGTTATGTCGGTTCTCCAGTTCAACAACCGATGTGTCCAAGCCGATTTGGGTGCCGTGGAGTTGAAGCACATGACAGCAACCACGGCATTTTCTGGGAAGCCCTGAAGTGATCGACTTCCAGAGCATTTCATGGGTCTGGGCCAGTAAGGGTTCAAAGTACCTAGCAGTTCGGAGAGGGCTTTTAGGCCCGGAGGGGTGAGGGCGTAGTAAGCGGCTATTCTATAGATTGTCCTAGCCCCAATGAAGGTCCCGTTTAAGGTTTTTTGTTTCTCTATACAAAGCTATTTCCGGCAAGGCCGAGTGAATCTTGATGAGGCAGCCAATCCCAGAGCTCCGGGATGATCCAAAATGCAGATCCCCTAGTTTGGGAACTTATACTTAAAGGGTCATGGTAATTAGTAACTAAGGTTATACTTCAGGTAACTGTACTTACAACCCCAATTAAGGTACTTATGACCCCACTTACTAAGCCCCATGATCCTCCAAGTACAACTACGGGGGACTGTATAGTAAGCTCCTTCAGGCATCAACTTGTTGGATGCTCCCAGAAGGCTGGTTAAACGTTAGGGGATGCTTCAAAGGTTCTATCAGGGCTTCTGTGCTTGCCCAAACCCCCTGTGGAGGATCCAAAAAGTAGATCTCTTGATGGGGGTTCCTATAAAGTACCCTTAGCAGTATAGGGCCCCAAATTTTGAGATCTACTTTTTAGATCCTCCCGGGGGTCTGGGTGCTTGTTTACATGCTTTTACTGCCCAAACTACCTGGTGACCTAAGGCTTAAGGATATTCTGATTTGGTTCTTAACAAGGAGGTCCGGAGTTCTCCAAAGCGGTTCTGCAATAAGGGGTTTAGGACGTGGACAAGCAGGTCCGTTCCCAGACCTTTTCAGAGGATTTAGCAACTAGATTCCTTGACAGGTTTCCTTTGAAGTACCCTTTGGCCCTTAGTAGTGTGTAGGTCCACATTGCTGGGTCTGCTTTCCAGATCGTGAGACCCTGCGCCCTGCACCCTAAACTTCTGAGCTAAGGGTTTAGTCTGCAGTGCCCGTCAATCCTATACCCACCGCCCCCCCCCCCCCCCCTACAGTAGGTTTTTGGGTGTTGCTCCCCTTACCCTCAGGCTTTAGTGATTCGTACTTAGGTTAGTGTTCGTCAGCTGCCCCAACAACCATTCCGGAAAGCCTTCAATCCGGAACGTTAAACCCCGAACATCGAAAGTCAAGAAGTTTGCCGAGGTTGAGAACTTGTGGACGACAAACACGGTCTTCGTCACTCTCACGCTTTGCACCTGGGCTTAATATGGAAGGCTGAATAAGCTTTTTTGTTTCAGGGCAACTACAAATTACAATGGAATCCAACACCGTTTGCATTACAATCGTTCAGAGCCCCAAATTCAAGTGCCGGCTGGAGCATGTTCAGGGTGGAGGGGTCTGAGCGTAGGCTCTCAGAGGGTTCAGCCCAGAGCCCCGGGAGGATCCAAAAAGTAGATCCCTTAATGGGGGTTCCTATAAAGTACCCTTAGTAGTATAGGGCCCCAAATTAGGGGAGTGCGGGGTCGGAGTCCTTGGTAATCGTCCCTTTGCGAAGTACCCGCTGGCAGGGACCGGAAGGGCTTTATTCGAGTGTACTCTGGGGGGGCTCCTGGTTCACCCAATGCCTTACGAGGACCCTCCAAGGCAGTTCTGTTTGAGTCTGTTCTCGTTTTCTCGTTGGGACAAGTACTATGCTACCCCCAATAACTCAAAAGCCCAGGCCCTAAACTCTTATCCCTGAACCCTATACCCTATGGCCGCTTCCTGGTCCAGTGTCACGCTGAAGCGAGGTACGTTCACACGCCTGGACTTCCACTTAGGTGGCTTGGCTGAGTAGCAACGTAGACCTCTCCTCTAAGGATTCCACTCAGGGTGCCTACTATTTGCTTAAGAAACCCCCAAAAAATGACAATAACAATCCCTATATTACCCCCATAAGGAATATATTTTTTATTTTGGGGGGGTTCTTAAGCAAATTAGTAGGTGTAGGGTTTGGGGATTTACAAACAAAGGCTCCTTTGGGGCCACGAGAAGCTCAGGGCTGACTGTTTAGGGATGATTAAGTTACCCAGAGGGTCGATATATATATATATATATATATATATATATATATATATGGTCACCCCCCCCATGACAGACCATCCCCTTTAAAACATCGCTCCCACCGGCGTGTTCGTGCTTTTTCCGGAGTATCGAGTTTGAGCCCTCCGAACGTATCCCTGGAACCACCAAAAGACTGAGACCAGAAAGCAGCACGATAAGGCGCGCGTGTGTCCTACCAAGAAAGGAATTACAGAGCACACGTGCATGGATGAGGGTTGTGCTGACACACTACATAGTAAGCACTACACAGTAATCTTACTTGAGTCATATATAGAGCAGATTCCAGCATTTCCAAAATATCCAAAATTTCCAAAATTCTCTCCCCTAACTTTCCAGATTTCCAAAATTTCCAAAATTTCCAAAATTTCCAAAATTTCCAAAAAGTCCGCCCTTATGTTTTGGAAAAATCCTGTCGACTAGGTCGGGAAATTTTGGAAATTTTAGAAATTTTGGAAATTTTGGAAATCCGGAAAGTCAGGGGAGAGAATTTTGGAAATTTTGGAAATGCTGGAATCTGCTCTATATATGACTCAAGTAAGATTACTGTGTAGTGCTTTTAACACTAACGTTGACATGTATATTAATGCTTTCATTTCGAATATGCACATTACTAATTCTATTATTAACATTAATACTCCTACGCCTACCAATAGTCATATTCATATTGATATTAATGCCAATACTAACAGACACCTGCGTATATTAATGTCCGCGGATATACATACCTCTATCTGAAAAGCAAATATATCAATGCATTCGTGTACTAACGTAGTATATTCGTATTTAATTTGTCATATACCCAGTCTCCAACGTGACAATATACTACTTGTTAACGTCTGATTATACTGTATTGATATGCTAACTTGCTAAGACACGAATACTGTAATATGCAAGTACACTGACACATGGCAATGGTATACTAACATATGGATATACCAAAAAAGTTGTTAGATAATATACGAATATGATAAATGAAGTAGCATACCAGGATACTCATACACTAATATGTTAATAATCGAAGATAATAGCACACCAATATACTAATGTACTCATGCACGAACGTACGCATGCATTAATATACTAAGAGCATACAAACATGCAGGTATACAAACATATTACTGTTCGAATACATTATAATGTGTTGGTATACTAAGCTGTTTATATAATCTATCAGTATACTAATATATCAAAACTAATTATAGTATTGATACGCATACTAGCACGTCCGCGAATATTACACTGATGTTAAATTCATCATTAAGACTGATTAAAACTGACATCGACATTGGCACTGGCATCAACACTAATTATCACTAAATATGCTAGTGTACTAATATACGAATACTGTAAAAGGCAAGTACACTGACATGTTCACATGCCATTATGCCAACATATTGATATACCTATAAGCTATTAGGGAAAATACGAATATAGTAAATGTAGTAATAGACCACTATAATAATATACTAATATACTACTACGTTAACATACGAATATCATGATACACCAATATACTAATGTACTCATGCACCAACGTACTAATATATTCGCGCAATCTTCAACTCTGCAAATATACTATTGTTCGAATACATTACTGTATTATTATATTAAGCTCAAAATGTACGAATCAATCAGTATATTCACATATCAAAACTATTTCTATTACTGATACTAATACCAGCACTTCTGTGAATAATAAACAGATACTAAAACCAGCATTCAGACTGATACTAATACTAACACGAGTACTATTACTGACATTGACATCGACACTGGCACTAACACCAGCACGAACATAATCACGAGTTCATATTTACTATTATTGATATGTCTACTTTTATTCAATACTAATACTAATACTGATGCTAATACTAATACTAAATACCAATACCAATATTAGTACTAAAGCAATACCCATCCTAATATCAATACTACCACAAAACTATTACTCATATGAACACTGATACCAGGATTAGGACTACTACAAACAATGACAGCAGTACTAAGGATAGAACCAAGAACAATGCATAATAATCCTAACACTAATACTAGTACTAATACTAGCTACTAATTCTAATACTCATACTCATACCAATACTAATGTCACCACTACTGCTGCTACTACTACTGCTACTACTACGACTACTACTACTACTACTACTACTACTACTAGTACACATACTTAATACTAAAACTAATACTGATACTCATACTAGTCACTAATACTAATACTAATACTCATTCTAATACTAATACAAATACCAATACTAATGCTACCACTACTACTGCTGTGCGACAACTATTGCTAGTACGACGACTACTACTATTAACATCAATACACATACTTAATGCTAATACTAAGAGTAATACTAGTTCGAATACTATTAGTCATACTAAACATCCTAATATCAATACTACCACAAAACTAATACTAATGCTAACACTCATACAAGAATTAAGATCTACAAACAGTAATAGTGGTACGAAGAGCAGAATTGAGATTAAGATTGGGACTAGGAGCGCTGCATGCGTGTGAAGAAATTTCCAAAAATTGCAAACCATCTAAAAGAACATTTTGGAATTGAGTTTGGGAGAAGTGTCTGTCGCCTATCCGTTGACAGATCCTGCCTGGGGACGCACGCCACCCTTCCCCTTCCCCACGACGGTCTGTCATGGGGGGGGGTGAGCATATATATATATATATAAAAAACCATTGCGGAATTAGGTCCCAAGAAACTATCACTATTATGGTTTTGGTATCTCAATTCCTGAATAGTAGTATATCTGGACCCATTTGCTTAATGTCGCGACATTCGCATCCTCGCGCCTTGCAATCCTAAAGGATTCGGCAGAAGCGATCTGTACACCAGGCATGCGAATTGAAAAACTCTTGACCGCGAAGCCTCCTCCATTAAAACCTTAGGTGACGCCGTAAACCCGAAGCTTTTTTCATCGTTCGATCACAGAATCAATCCCACTTGTTGGTTCTACTTAGAGTCTCCATTGTAGTCCCTTTTTGGGTTACCTTGATCTTAACCATACAAGCAGTTCAACCAATAAGGGGAACTACAATGGAGACTACAGTTAGATCCTTGCGATGTTCGTGGTATTTGGACCGGGCCAAGGGGACGTAGTACAACAACCCAAAGGGCCCTCAGCACCTGCATGGGGGGAACTCAATAGAACAGTAATTCCTACTGTGCAGCGACTTTCCACTATGTAGATACTTAGGACCCCTTGGGTAAGCATAATTGATTCTGGCTGTCCTGCTTTTCTGTACTTTGGGTTGGTCGACGCCCATCTTCAAGTTTTGAATCGTCTATCACGCCTAAAGCCGCCCTCAAACATAAGCCGCCGTTCTACGAGGCCCCTTTATTCTATAACCCTAGACCCCAAACTCTACACTCTAAATCCTAGCCCTATTCCTGAACGCGGAAGCTTCCTCGAAGCCTTACGGTACCTATTATGGTCTCGCGGTTCTCGATTGTAGTTAATTTGCTATAGGGTTTGGGGTTCATTGTTTAGGGTTTAGGGTGCTGTATTTTGGGTAGTTAGGATGCTATACGGTAAACCAAAAGGAACTGCAGTGGAGACTATCCCAGAGGGTCCAAGTACCCAATTAGCAGGGTTTTCTGTCCCGAAATCCGTACTCTGAATGGTTTTTGGACTTGGAAGCCCTACTATTTGGATACTTGGACCCTGAGGTATAGGTAACCCTTGTATTTCGTATCCTTCTGTCAGATTGTTCGGAGATTTACTTCAAGCTCCGTCTGGGCGCGGAGGTTCTCCAAACGCAGGCCGAGTTCATGGTACAGTTTCTACTATACTGATACCGAGGTGTATATATATATATATATATGTGTATGTATATGTATACATACTCACTTACATTCAATCACATGTGCATTTGCTTTTTAATTCGCATCTGTTTTTGTAGCAGTGCAACAACTATGGTAGTTACATTCTACTATGACTCATAGCTTGCATGATAGCGTGAAGGATTTACCTGGTAGTAGTAGAGTAGCCAGTTCCCTTAGGTACGGGACAAGTAGCTTTAGGGCCTCCCAGGACTCATATGGCGGTTTGTGACCTGTTGTTCCGTTTCCAGCATGGTCGTATGTATGTATGTGTGTATGTCTGTATGTACTTATATATGCATACAGACTGTGATGCATAAATATAGATACAATATATATATATATATATATATATGTATATATATATATATATACATATTTCTGCAAATTCATATATATATATATATATATGTATATATATATATATATATATAAATACACACACATACACACACCAGTGTTGTCTGGGATCATCAGAGCATGTGCTATCTCGTGTTAGTTTTGTTACTGGTCGCCCCAATAGACTTCCCAAAGCTTGCACTCAGCATGCATCAAGATTTCTAGGAAGATGACAAAATAAGCGTTACATACCGGCAAAATAGGCGTCAAATGTCCGGCAGAATAAGAGTTGAATATCGGCAAATTATGCATCAAATATCGGTCAAAGACATCGTGTTGGAGCCTAGCTCCAAGTTAGATATTTGGACCCTACGGGTTGGGGTTTAGGGTTTTAGGGCTCAGGGTTGACTAGGACCCAGAATAGGCCCTTATTCCCTTTCCCTTATAAACCCCTTTAAACCAAAAAGGGCATCCTTTTTATTCCTAGGCTTCTCTTAGGTCTAGTTGAGGGTTTAGGATGAACCTTTCTCCAATTTCCAACTTGCTGGGTAAGCCCTTAACCCTGAAGCGCATACTGGGAGGATGATGGGATTCAGTAAGTTAGGTTACAAATACCCTAATTGGGGGTTATAAGTAGCTAAAAGTATAGTATAGTCACCCTAATTATAACCCTCTAAGCTCCGTGACCCTTGAAGTACGCCCTAGAAGCCTTGCCCCGCTGCCTAGCACTCAAAGCCCGGGGGCCCACGGGAGAGGCGACGCGCATCAAGTCGAACTCGCCGCCATCCTTGCATTCTTCCCACGGGGATCAGGGTTTAGGCCTTTGGGTTTAGGATTGAGGAAAGACGGCTTAGGGTTTGTGTGAACCACATGATGACACGGCTTTTGGCTTGAGGGTTTAGTTTTGAGTTTCAGGTTAGGGTCTACCCATCTTCTCCAACATAGTACCTTTGTGTGGTTAAATTTGTACTACACGACTTTAGCGATAGAAAAGCGAGTTGAAGCGGATGTTATCCTATTGCATTATGGGTCTACGTAGTCGCTATTGTAGGAGTTTGGGTCCGTTTGGGGTGCGAAAACTCGTAAACATGGACCATACTTGGATCGATCCGTAGGGATCATTAGATTCTGTTGCAAACGGCCTGCCAAACCCTAATCCCCCTAAGCCATAGCACCTCATCCTACTTCGGGCTCTCTTAAAAGGGACCTTATTTAAAGGGTCTATACCCCCAAGGGTCCCCTAATCTTAACATCTACGACTGTATGGGTTTGTTCAAGAGCAAGAGAGTGATCTACGAATCTACCTCAACTCGCTGCCCCCCCACCGGTCCAACCTTTCCCCCCAGAACCACCAAAGGCAGTACCAACACCGGTCCAACCAAGCATGCCACCACCCAAGAAGAAGGCCCGGCCGAACATCTGGAGCCATGCGCCGACGATCCCCTTCTATCCTACCCCCCCCTTGATTCGCTTCTGGGAAATGGCACACCACCCTGCAGGAATACGGGTTTCGGGCCTTATGTTGGGGCGGAAGCTGATCTGCATTGGATTCCCTCGCATGCAGCACCTGCAAGTGTATCTGCCGCACATGCCATGGCAGCACCAGCACGTGGGCCTGCAAACATCATCCTTGGAGGTGAGGAACCGGAAGATCCTTCAAGGCAGAGATAGTCGTCTATCCTAATCCCCTCAAGTCCTGAACCCGTTAACCCTCAGTCTTAATATAGGGGCCTTAATGGATACCTCTACTACTTTGGTGGGTTCCTTATTCTAATTATAGTATGATGGGCCCCAAAGCCCTGTTCCGATTATTGAGGCCCCTATATCATAGAACCATATTACAGAACCCTTATAGAACCCTTTTCAAAGCACCCTATAGAGGAACCCTGTTCTAATTAGTGAGGCACCTATATTATGCTCTTTTTCAAGCTGCATAACCTATGCCTTGAACTCTGAACCCTGTACCCTAAACCCATAAACCCTAACCCCAAGCCTCTTTCAAGCTGCATGCCAGTCCTAGGTAGTACGTCTGGCCTCAAAAGGGACCTTGTTAGACCCCAAACCTTTTAGTAACCCCTATAGTAACCCTTACAGACCCCTTTAAAAGGAACCCTTACTTGGAGGATCATGGGACTTAGTAAGCAAGGTTATATGTACCTTAATTGAATCTCTGAGTAGTGATAAGCAGGTTACCTTACTCATAACCCTAGTAACTAAGTCCGATGACCCTTTAAAAGGAACCCTAACCACCCTAAGACCCTAAACCCTTATAGTATCCACTATAGACCCTTTTATTTACAGGAGCCCTAAACCCTAATCCCTAAACCCCTTAGGTTTAGCCTTGAAAAGGAACCCCTAAAGCCAGGGCCCTTATTAAACCCCATACCTTTTATTAAGCCGTTTAGTAACCCTTACAGACCCCTCTCTAAACCCTAAACCCCTAAACTCTAAACCCCTAAACTCTAAACCCCTAAACTCTAAACCCCCTTACAGCCCCCTTTAAAAGGAACCTTTACAGCCAGGGCGAAGATGCTCGGCATCTACCAATCCGCCAGCTTCGAGACAATCGTCCCTGGAGCCCACGAGCTCATCGTGCAGGCCTTCTATCCTAAGCCCTGTTAGGGTGTAGGGTTTAAGGTTTCGGGTTTAGGGCTTTTAGGGTTTAGGGATTTTAGGGTTTAGGGTTTGGTTTAGCATTTGAGGTTTAAAGTTTAAAGTTTCGGGTTTAAGGCTTAGGTTGTAGTCAGCGCCCCTAAACGCTCAACCCCTCAACCCTATCAAACCCTTGAACCCCACCGAACTGGAAAGTCCCAAAGCCCAAAACTCTAAAACCCGAAAACCCGAAAGCCGTAAATGCGATGTCGCTAATGTTGGACATAGCGCGATACCCGAACCAAAATTCAATCTCCCTGGTGTGCTGCGATAGGGACTGATATCCTGCGAGGAATATCCCCAGAGACTCCAATATCCCTTAATTAAGGAATATACCTTAAAATTATGGTAGGATCCCTAATATGATTTAAGGTATATTCCTTAATTAAGGGATATTGGAGTCTCTGGGTCAGGTGCAGCAGCGTGCATCGTGGACTAGGGACCCCGATGCTGCAGTACTGCCGGAACCGGCGCTGATGCCGGTACGGAAGGCATGGGGAAGAGGAAGGCACGTTCACCACCAGAATAGAAACGGTGGTTTACGTAGCTTTGCGTTCCGTATGCAGGCAGTTCACGTGGGTTTTCGGACTTCGCTTCGACGGTCATCGCAATAAAGGCAATCAGAGTTTTGCCGCAAAGCGATGACATATGGATGCTGACCAAGATCCGAATAAAACGACTCCTCGGCTTGAAGTCAATCGAGAGTACGATCGATGCTCTTCTTGCACACGCAAGTAGGCAGCTTCCCCGTGCAGGAGCTTGCAACAATGTGCTCTAAAGACTGGGTGAGGCCTAAGTTTTCCAAAGCCGGGGTCCTTGACCCTAAGCCTAGTATCCCTATTGTTCGATATGTTTTCTAAATCTTTCTGGACTTGTGCTCTAGGTTTTGAGAATTATCTGTCGGCTTTTATAGTGTTCTTTTATAGTTTTCTGTGCTTGTTTAGACGGTGTGTGGGGGGGGGGGGGGGGGGCTTGAAGAATTAATAATACCGTTTCTCAGAGCACCCGGATCATCAACATAGTCATCGCATTAGGCCCTCCAAGACCCTAGGCCCTAGTTTATGTATTCTTCCCGTATTGAACCCGAACGGTTTAGGAGTTCCGATGTTCGGATTTATCACGGTGTTTGGCTTTCAGGGGTTTGGGTTGCGGGGCATTTTTCTTAGTGGCTGAGTAGGCAACCTTTATCCTTTTGGGGTTCCTAGATTCCTACCATAGTTGACAAGGTTATCCTTGTTTCGGGGCTAGGATACTCAGCCCCTAAGTAATGACCAGCGTAGGTTTACATATTCATTGCACAGGACCCCCATGTAAACCCTGAACTGGGGATGGTTGTGGGTTCCTGGACACCGCAAGTGCATATGATAATATTAGCCGTTTATAGGTTTTGGGTCATTATTCTACCTACCGTAGCATGTGGCTTATAGCTTCTGGCCCACAGCGTCGTTCGACTGACACTCTACTGTCGCTGCTCTGGGGCTTTAATCGGGATTCCAGGTTTAGGGCAGTGAAGGGTTTAGCGTTTACGGTTGCAAACCCAAAGCCGGAATCCTTAAAACTAAACCTTACATGCAGTATAGGTAGTGAAATCAGAACAGAGAGTCCAAGCACCCACATAGCAGCGGTTGAGGTCCCGTACTCTGAGTGTTTTTCCTTAAACCCTAAATTGTAAACCCACTCCTTGACATCCTGGCTTGAGGCCTTTGCCAAAGGGAACTTCAGTGACACCTTGCTCGGCGAGTGCAAGTTCGACTTGGAGGCATCGGCGCATTGCAGCAAAATCAAGATCTACTATAGGAGCCTTAATAATTGCCTATACAATGGTGGGGTTCCTGATTATAACTGTAGTATAATGGGCCCCAAAACCACATTCTAATTATTAAGCCCCCTTTTTCGCAGAACCGTATTATTATTCCTTATAGAACTATAGGACCCCTTTTCAGAATCCTTTAAAAGGAAGCCTATTCTAATCATTAGAGACCCCGTATTACTGTTACAGTGAGCCTTAACCCCTCAACCTTAACCCAAGAGGCGCCAGGTCAACCGTGGCACACATGAACTAAACCTAAACCTGGGTCTTCTGCCTGTAGCCAGAGATGTTGCGGAAGGAAAACGGAGCTTAAACAAAAACATCAAACCTCTAAACCCTTTCCCCCAAAAGCATAAACCCTAAACCCTTGTCTACAAAGCATGGTCGCAGACTATTGCTACTATTTGCTTAAGAACCCCCAAAAAATAAAAAATATATATATTCCTTATAGGGATAATATAGGGATTATTATTTTTATTTTTTGGGGGGGTTCTTAAGCAAATAGTAGATTGGTAAAGCCTTGAGGCCCATCTTAATCCACCCGAAAAGCCCGAACGCCGAATCCCTGGAAACTCGCAAATCCGTGCTCTTTCGACACCAACGCCTCATCCCTGCCAAAAAAATCACCGTTCTTTCAGGGTTCCTTGCAGGGCCCGTTTCAGGGCTGCTATAACGGGGATTCCCATACAGTATTTTTTTAGCAGTCAGGATCCCAAATTATTGACCATACTTCTTAGATCCTGGCGGAATTCTGGCCTGGGATCGGCGGATGTTGTTCTCCATGCCAGGATGAAGCTCGAGTCTCCACTGCAGGGCATAATGTAAGGGCCTTGATCAGTACCCCAGGCTTTTAGTGTGTGTGTTGTAGTTTAGTAGCATACTTGTATATTTCTACAGAGGAGCCCTGTGGAAGCATGTTTGTCGTTATTCAGCGACCCCAGAATATCTGTGGAGCTGATCTGGCTGCATGAGGGTTTAGCATGTTACCGTTTCTCTATCTACGGATGGAATGGTAGCCTGTTGAGTGGCCCACTAATGGAGGAACCTGATCAAGAAACCTGGGGCCTTCATTAGGGTTCCGTATATGAATCCTACTATTTTGGTGTTATAGTCCCAGGGTGTCTTACTCTGGTTCCTATATAAACTCAGTCAAACGAGCATTTACTCTTCGTCATGCCTTCGTCACGAGCAAGCCACCATCATCGTCATCATCGCTATTGCTGCCGCTCATTGCACTATAGCCGATGGACGAGCGTTTTGCAACTCACTGTTCACACCGCTTGCACCTCCTTGGGGCTTAAGACCCCTTTCAAACTTTGCTAATACCGGATCTCCACCGCAGGACCGATGGTTGGCGCTGAAGTGGAAAGAGCTCCTTGACGGCATAGTGATCTTGCCTAAACAAATCCGGGCGCGGAAGGACATGGGACTAATTTGAAACCCTGTACTATACTAAACGATACCTTATTGGAACCCCCTTCAAGGATCTAAATTATTGCATCTTGCCCGGGGGTTCTGAAAAAATCATTCATGGCCACAAAATAGGCGTCTCGAGAATCTGGTACAGAGCCCGAAATTGCAGGACCGCTGTAAGTCTGAAGCCGTATGGCCCTTGTACACAGGACCTGGCGGGGGACGTTAATTCAGAGAAATACCAATAACCCTAGAGCGGTCGACTTCTGCAAGCCTAAGGGTCCAAGTACCTACTACCGCAATCAAAGACTCTTCCCAACCCTCACACCTACTAGCCGAAACCTAAGTACCTGATTCTTGGGTCCTCTGGACACTTAGGCTAAGCTCATAGGAGGCCAAAAGGGGTTTCAGCCTATAGGGTTTTAGTAGGGATTCGGGTTCCCATAATAGGGTTCATATTAAGGAATCCCTCCCCTTTGGCCTCCCATCATAAGCAGCATGCATCTGCGCTGCTCAGTTTCCGCTGCAGCACTTCCGAGGAGTTCCTCAGGACGCGGCCGAAATCATACTGGTCGCAGGATTTTTCTTCTTGATTTAGGCGGTTTGGGGTCTGATGTGTTGATGTTTAACCCTGAACCCTACCTGCCTCCTTCGACGCTCTTTCGACTTGGCGAAGCATTTTGAATGATTAGCGCTGTGGTTTGGCGCTTATGGTTGAGGGCGCGAGAGCCTAAATAGGGTTCAGGATTCACGCTTTAGCACATCAGGTTGGCTGAGGCATAACCCGTTCATGCAACCCTAACCCTAAAGTTACCCCAAGGGTCCAAGTACGCAATAAACATATACTCTCCAAAATCATAACCTACATACCTATTATTCTAAAGCCGAACACCTAATTGTTGGGTCCTTTGAAACTTTGGACCCTTGGGGTTTGTAACGAAGGAACGACAAGAAGGAGTTTACCCTAAGGGTCCTTTCAATTTGGGGAACCTCAAAATGTAGGGTTCCTGAAGCCCCAACAAGACCCAAGGGCTCTCCCTAGGAGATTCCGGACCCTCCCAAGGAGATAACCCTAAACCCTAAACCCTAAACCCTAAACCCTAAACCCAAAACCCTAAACCCTAAACCCTAAACCCAAAACCCTAAACCCTAAACCCTAAACCCTAAACCGATACCTGGACCCTTTGGGTAGGGTTGAGGATTGCATGTACGCATCGCAGAGGCCCAGACTTCTGTCGACTCGTGGGCCCCACGGGTGGCCCCTAATTTGGAGCTTTAGGCCATTCACTGGGGCCTTCTACCGACCCTTAAGGGTACATATGCGGTATAGTTGGTAGGTATATAGGGATCGCAGGGTGAAGGGCCCAAACTAGAGCCCCATGGTTTGAACCTGAGGCGGTTTAACCGACACTTATTTACCACCACCTTCGACCCAAATTTCCAGCCCTCGATCCTGAACCCCAACCCGCAGGCCTGAATGTAGCCAGTATGAGACGTCTAAACTTTTTGAGCTCATAAGCCCGGCCGTTACTCAAGAAGTCAAGCAGGTTTTGGCCAGATTCTTGAACAAGAAGGACGCCAAATCCTCACCTGATTAGGCAGCAAGATTTCGATACAAGTGCAGTCTTGCGGCCACCTGTACATGCAGGCCGGCAGACCCAGCGTGAGCTGTAGCTCTGATATCCGCAGGCATGGCATTTACAAGACCACCAATGGGAACCTACTTCCAATAGCTACTTGGAATATCATGGGACTTAGTAAGTAAGGTTTTAAGTACCTTACTTGGGGTTATAAGTAGTCATAAGTATAGTTACCTCAATTATAACCCTGGTTACTAAGTCCCATGACCCCTTAAGTACGCGTAACCCCCCCTTATAGAAACCTTATAGATCCCTTTAAAGGAACCCTTACAGAACCCTTAGTTACTAAGTCCCATGACCCTTTAAGTACTCAAACCCCAAACCCGAACCGGTCAAGTGGGTGGATTGGAACTGTCCGCGGGGATGAAGTTTCTGAAGGCAGAAACCCCAACCAAAGTACTAAAGCCTCAAGCTTAAACCTTAATGCCTTAAACCCATGATGTTTGACAACCACCAACGATATCTTATGGTCGCAACATACGAAAAATGTCCAAAATAATGCCCCCAAGTCCGCCAGGAATAAGGTTTCCCCGCCGGCTCACAGCCGCCACTCGGATTGCAATTCTTTCTTTCTTGATGACCTAGGTTGCGGTTTATGAATAGTCTGCGTATTCCTAATAGGACCCGGTGTACTAACAACCTTGTCAGACGCTTTTTACATGGCCAGCCTGGCCCTATGCGAACCCTTGACGGAACCTTTGTAGTACTGTTGACGGAAGCATTACAGATGACCCAGTACTTCTTTGTTCTTGCTGACTTTGTGTTCAGTTAAACTCCCATATACACAGCCCTCCATGCGAGCTAGGCAAACTTGTATCTACCGTGTTCCCGAAGGAGTTCCCTTGGGGCAATTTGGGGGCTTAAGTTTCCAATTTACGAGTCTGGTCTGGTGGATGACTTCGGACTTATACTTATTTGTAAACCCAGCTAATGTACTTATAACCTTGCGTACTAAGTCCCGCGATCCTCCAAGGAGGGTTTAGGGGTTAAGGGATTTGGGGTCTTTGAGGTTCGTTCTGGGGAGTTTAAGGCATTAGGGCTTCGGATGTAGGGGGTTAACGGGAGGTTGGGGGAAGGCTTGCGGATCTGCTGTCCTTAGGGTTCACTCTAGGTCCAACTAAAGGGAACTCCAGAAAGTTGGAATATGGATTAATGGTAGGATCCCCTATAATTTACCTTAAAGGGGTTACGATAATGATATTCCAACTTTCTGGCTTCTACTGTACCCGAATAGCAAGGTTTCAAGGCCCAAAATGCGCTCAGAGTATGTATGGATTTTGGGACCTAAAACCCTACTATTTGGGTACTTGGACCCTCTGGGTTTAGGTACAGGATGTCAAGTGTATGGTTTAGGGGCTTGAGGTTAGGGTCCACTGTTAGGGTCCAAGGTTTTGGGTTTGGTGGGGTGGTTGTGGCCCACGCTTTTTGCAAGGTCTTGCTTGGTGGGGCGTGAGTTATAGAGTACTCTATGCCCCTAAAACATCTAAACCCCAAACCCTAAACTCTACTACTCAAGTAGGGTTTGGGGGTCTAGTTACTTTCAAAATCAAAAGGAGCCTCCAAAATAGTATAGGTAATTATCTAAGCCCCTATGTTGTAGGGTTTAGGTGAGGGGATCTAGGCCCTGGGCTTTGGGTTTCATCTTGGTGCCAAGATCAGAAATTCTGAAACCTAATTAAGCCCCAAACCCTGGAATCCTATACTACTTTTTGCTTAAGAACCCCCAAAAAATAAAAAATAAATTCCTTATGGGGGTAATATAGGGATTGTTATTTTTCATTTTTTGGGGTTTCTTAAGCAAATAGTAGTATACCCTAAACTTTACAACCGCAGCACTATACCCCACAGCCGCCACGGCATCTTTAACTCAGGTGTTGGGAATTTGCTGGTTTGCCGATGGCTCAAGGATTCGGGTTGGAGGTTTATGGGGGTTTAGGGTTTTAGGGATTGGTTTAGGGCATGGGTTAGGGCTTCGAATCTGATTTAGGGGTTAGCGCCTAAGTTTCCCCCATACGATGATCCTGATGACGATGAGCGGCCGTCTAGCCGGCAGCTCTAAACCTAGTTACTAAGTCCCATGACCCTTTAAGTAACCCTAACCCCCTTATAGAGCCCTTATAGATCCCTTTAAAGGAGCCCTTACCTAAACCCTAAACCCTAAACCCTAAACCCTAAACCCTTAACCCTAAACCCTAAACCCTTAAACGCCTTAACCCCCCCCCCTCCAAACTGTTCAGGCTTCCTTTGGACCTCGGAGGAAGCGAAAAGAGGGAACCTACCTTGGAGAGCTCCGGAGGCCACCAGACCCAGAGGGTCCAAGTACTCAAATAAGAGGGCTTTAGGTCCCAAAACCCATTCAGAGTATGGATTTTGGGATCTAAAGCCCTACTATTTGGGTACTTGGAGCCTCTGGGAGAGGGTTCCTTTGAAGGGTTCCTTTGAAGAGTTTGTCTGAAAGATTGCTTTAACCCTTTAAAGGGTTCTTTTAAAGGGCTTGTCTGAAAGATCCCTTTAAAGGGTTCCTTTAAAGGTTTTGTCTGAAAGGTTCCTTTGAGGGTTTAGGGCTTGGGGGGTTGGGGTTTGAGGGTTTTGGTGCTTTACGGCTTTAGGGTTTCAGGGTGGTGTAGGTCTTCGGGGGGCTGAGGCTCCAAAGGATATAGCGTTTAGGGTTTATGTCCTGATCAGGAATTTCGGATGCGGATGGGGGTCATGGAATGCTTTGATTACGCCGGATGCACAAGGGCAGACCAGGTCCCCCCGAGTAGCCTTTAACGGAGTCCTTATGTGTAGTTGTCAAAATGATGGTCCCGTTTTGGGCACCCTAAATATTAGGTGTCGTATTAAGGAACCAAAAAGGCACCATAATTTTGACAACCACCCTCTTATGGTCCTTAAAAGTGACTGTTTAGGGTATACTAGAGGTTAGTTAGTTAGGGGGCGGGGTCCAGGGAGTACCAGACCTTGGACTTATCAGTTGTGAGACGTGGATTGGGTGCCCCATTGCCCCAGGCCTGAAGCCGTGCAGGTTTCCGATTCAGGGCTGCTATAGGCCTTAATAATTACCTGTTCATTTTTGCGGGCTCCTCATGATAATTATAGCAAAATGGGCCCCATTGTAATCATTTAGATCGAACAGTAAGTCATGGTCAATTCAAAGCACACTCACATGGGTAGTTCTCTACGTTACGGCCCCTTCCAGATCCTTGTAACAAAAGGGTGCCATACTTTTCGGGTGACCTACAGGGTAAGGGGGAGGGCTTAAACTTAGTCATCAGGTCCCTTTTAAGGCCCCCGCCTACACTCACCCCCCCAAACTCAACAACCCCCCTACCCTTACCCCACAAGCAACCCCTCACCCCAGACAGAAACTGAACAAAGAACGAGGCCTTATCGCAACGCAGTGCAAGAATCCGTTTTTGTGTTTCCATTGTTGAAGCTGTTTCGGCTTGTATCCCACCCCGATTAAACCGCTATATATATATATATATATATATGTGTACATATATATATATAGAGAGAGAGAGAGAGGGAGAGAGTCAAGGGCGTAAGTTCATGAAACCGAACCCTACCTTTTTAAGCAACTCTGCGAAGCAAAATAAGGAACAGGGCCTAGGCTGAGGACCCTAAACCCATCCACCCTCCCTTCGCCAGAAGCCGGTGCCGACTGGTGTGGGAAGAGGACTGGAGATCAGGTGCCTCGTTTGAGATTGGGAGGGCTTTTCCGGCTCAGGGTTACTACAAAATTCAAGCAGAGTAGGTTCGTGGTTCCTCGAAGTTTCAACGTCGACCAAAACACCTTATCATAAGCCTTAACATGGGTGTCCTCAGAGCCAGATTGTCTCAACACCCCAAGCCAGGATCATTAGAGTTTCTAAGGTTCTAAGTTTTTCAGTTGATTTCGGGCAGGATATTCTGTATAGACGATGCTCGCGATGTCCCTTAACAGCCCTCCTAACCTCCTAAACCCTGAGACCGAACCCAAAGCCTTACAGTTCAACCTTCTCAGACCTATGTTCAAGCCCGATGACCAGTCTTCCCTACTATAGGGGCCGAAATACTCACCAAGACTATTGTTGGGGGTTCCTTGTTATAGTTATAGTAGAGCGGGCACCAAAACCCTAGTCTAATTATCTAGGCCCCTGCATTAGTCCCCTCCATCCGCAGTCGATTGTTTCCGTACGCCTGTACCGGTACCGTTCATCACTTTTCCTTCCACAGCCTGGCATGCCGAGTCTAGCAAGCGGGCACCTAAGCCGTAACCCCTATAGATCCTTTGAAACCCTAAGCCCATGTACCAATTTAACCTGAATCGTAAACCCATCTAAATTATCTAAACCCTAAGCCCTAAACCCTCATCTAAACCCTAAACCTTAAACCCGAAGCTAGAATGCTGGGAAGGCAGCCAACGTCTAAGCTCGGCTCCAAAACCCTCAGGGGCCATGTAATTACCCAATTCGGGAGCGACATGATACCGATTGTACATGCAACCAACTCCAGACAGCGATTAGCATCCCGAACCCTAAAATGCAAAATTTAAAACCCGAAGCTCAAAACCCTGAACCCGCTCCCACCCCTGAGCAGAAAGCTTGAAGACTAATTCTACGCAGCTCCTAGAGCCGACTATAGCAGCATCACCCGACGGGTCCATGTACCCAAACATATCCCTAAGCCCTTGTGGTACCCTTCTCAAAGGGTCATGGGACTTAGTAACTGGGGTTATACTGAAGGTAACTACACGTATGATTACTTATAACCCCAGTTAAGGTACTGCTAACCTTACTAAGTCCCACGATCCTCCAAGTTAGAGCCACCCCTTAAAGGAACGCCTTTATAAACGGAGCCCTTGCGGGTACATGAGCTCAGACTGCTCCATCCCCTAGGCCAGCGCGGACGAGTGGAGCTCGCTTGCCTTTGGAGACGAAGACGATGACAATGAAGGATGCTTATAGGGTTTAGGGTTTATAACCTAGGGATCTAAGGACTCATATATTAAGGCTTTTGGGCCCAAAGACCATACTCAAGGTCTAAAGGTCTTGGGGCTGGGGGCGTTTAGGGGTTGCAGGGGTTCTACTCGGGGTTCAATTAGCATGTCAGAATAAGGATTTTGTAGGATTGCAGCGGAGAGTTATAGTCGGTTGTCGGGATCCTGCTTGGAGGGTCAAGGGACGTAGTAAGTAGGTAACATGTAGATCTAGAAGTACCCTCGGGTACTTGAAGTCAATCCCAAGACCCAGAACACGACGATTGGACCCGCTTTAAACCCGGAATCCATTCCCGCCTGGACCACAACAAAACCTGGAGGGTCCAAGTATCCAAACAGAGAGCCTTTGGGCCTGAACTACGGGGGATCTTTTCCGGGTCCTAAAGCCCGACTCCCTTTTGCTTGGGTAGTTGTGAGTTGAAGAACAGCAACCCAGTCAATCCGTAAGTCCCCTGGGCAGAAAAAAGACCCGAACCAAGAGCTACACAGACACGCACCAGAAAAGAAAAGCCAGAACAACAGCAATACGTCCAAACCCCAAACCCTAACCCAAGCCCTAAACCCTAAACCCTACACCTAAACCCGCAAGAGGCAGCCCAACAAGAGAGTGAACGCAATGAAAAAACGCCGCTAGGACCACGATGTGAACTCGGAAACCCGGGCTGGTCTGCCGGGGACCCCCAACCAGAGGGGTCGAAATAGTTTAAGTGCTCTAGACGGAGCCTCCATAAGGCTTTCATTGTAGGTAGGGTTCCTTTGGAGATTGTCTAAGTGATTTGTAGTTGTTTACCAAGTTGTATAAGGGTTTATAGGTTCTGGACCCCTAAAAGCCCGAAGGGCCCAAGAATTACCCACTTGGGTTTAGGATTGCAGTTTTGCAGCTCAGGTTTAGGATTGTAGTCTAAGTGGTCTGGAAGGAGCCTATCTAAGTTCCTGAATAGTACCCTTTTGCACTTTTTCTTATTGGGTTCCCTTATCACGCCTATTATAAAGGGGCTACTCAGGATTTATAGGCTTGCTACAAAGTCGTATACGTTGTGTATCGGTTCTAGAAAATAAACCCTCAACCCTGAACCCTACATGAGGGGTTTTCTAGAACCCTAAGGGTCCGACGGACCCAAATAATAATCCGGCACTTGTGTTTAGGGTTTAGGGTGTTAGCTTTGGAGCTCAGGTTTAGGATTGTAGTTTTTGTAGCTTCGTGTTTGGGGAGAGTATACTAAGATGCCCAGCAGCACCCTTATTCCTTTTTTGTAGTCCTAGGTTGTTACCCAATACCAAAAAGGGAGCCCTTTTTATTCCTACGTTACTGGGCATCCTAGTATATGAGTATAGGATCATTACGTACTTGGACCGCCTGGGTAGCTTTTGGGTCCTTAATTGTTTGGTGGTGTTCTACGTATTACATGTGTTCATCGTATCCGTATTGTGTATGTGTGTATTTTTATGTATGTATGTATGTATGTATGTATAATATATATATATATATATATATATATATACAGACCGACAGACTGACAGACGGACAGACAGACAGGCAGGCATACATACATGCGAGATTGTGTTGTGTGTGTGCGCGTAGAGTTTGGGGCTTGGAATTCGAGTGAACGTAAACAACTGTGGTGGAGGATTTGCTTTTTCAGGTTTCAGGTTTACGCAGGTTGCATGTTAAGGTTTAGGGCATATGTTTTTTTTTCTGCAGGCTCTGTTTACGGTGGCGACTCCCAGGTGATCCCGCCTGGGTTCTGGATCGTGCCTTGGGCTAAAGCCTCACGTCGCGATTTTGGCTCAGGGGCATTGGCTACATATAGGGCCCTTGGGCAGCGACGAAAGAATTACCAACAGCCAAGGGTGCGTTGTTATCCTGCACATTGGAGATGGGCTGCTGAAATTCGCAGTCCTTCGCAAAGGCCTTGCACTTTGGCTTCCCGGAAGACAGAGACTGGCGTTTTGCACTGTCTTCCCTCCTGCTCGAGGCTGCAGCACAAGCAGGGCGATTGATCGAGCATCCCCTGCATGCACCCTTGATTTGGATTGGGCCTGCGCTACTGCATCGGCCACCTACTTGGAGCGTCGGGGGTTTGAGTAAGCAGCTATTTTAGCAACGCCTATGAGTACGATAACCCCAATTAGGACCCCTTTTCGGGTGCTTGTAAGTCTACGTTCTAACTACTACCTAAGACGTAAGCCCTTCTAATCCCTAACACCTAACCCGAAACCCTAAAGTAAGTCCCCCGACCCTCCAAGTAGAGTCCGAAGAGGCAGCGGCACGCACGGATTCCTAAACCGGCAGGCCTAAACTTGCTTGCGTTTAGGGTTTAGTTTGTTGGAATTCGTTAGTACACCCTCCATCTACCCTCTATTAGACCCTAAATGCCCCTTATTTGGGACCATATACCCTTGTTTGAGGGTACAAGGAGGGTCCTGGTTACTGCACCTGGAGTGCTTGAAAGTCCGAATTTCGACTCCTTTGGGTGCGAAACACTTTCTAAGACTTACCAGGACCCTCCTTCTGTTGATGATATAAATCCTGCATGACCTTAAGGGCCCTAAACCATGGGAATTATGGTATATTCCTTATTGTGGGTAATGCAGGATTTGTATCATCAACCGCTGTACCCTCAAATAGGGGTATATGGCCCCAAATTAAGGGCATTTAGGGTCTAATAGAGGATAGATGGAGGGTCTAGGTATACAGCAATTCCTAAGACCTATCTACCCTGAATCCCGAAACCCCTAAACCGTAAAGTGCCCAGAGACTCCAATATCCCTTAATGAAGGAATGTACCTTAAATTGTAATAGGATCCCTAATACCTTTTAAGGACTATTCCTTACTTAAGCGATCTTGGAGTCTCTGGGTAACCTTTATGGGAACCCTAGGCTGCGATGCTTCCTTGACATGCACCCTTACAACACGCCGGAGCTGCCTCAACGGCCGGAGACGCACAGCTTCGAGGCCGGGACTATAGGGTTTAGGGGTCCTCTAAAGCGATCCCTAGGGTTTAGGGTTTTTGGTGTTTTAGGGAGTCCTTTAAAGTTCCTTTAAAGGGCTCCTGCGGCTCTTTTTTTTTTCTGTTAAGGGTTTAAACTTCAAAAGTATTGGTTGAGGGGTTTAGGGTTCAGGATCAAGGGTTCCTGATTCTGTTACAGGGGTCTATATGGGTTACTATAAGGGTTGGGGGTTGGGAGGGAAAAGGGGGGGGAGGGGGAGGGGCCGAGGGCCCATAAGGGCTGCTATAGGGTTTAAGGTTTAGGACTTGGGATTTCGGGTTTGGGGTTGGGGCTTTAAGGTTTATCAGGGTTTAGGGGTTTAGGGGTTTGTGGCTGGTGGTTTAGGGTTTCCGCAAACTCTACATCCTCTCTGCGGAGTTTCTCTGAGTTTGAGGTGTTTGGCCTCTAGGGTGTTGCATGTCTTACAGGTTCTAAGCTTCAACCGCGTAAATGTCAGACTGCTTACAGTGACTATGCACCACTTGAGAAGGGTCCCCTTTAAGGGGTCTCCCTGATACTACCAACTTTAAGAGAAAATAAGTTGGGTTAAGAAGGGTCCCCTTTAAGGGGTCTCCCTGATACTACCAACTTTAAGAGAAAAAGAAGGAAAAAGAAGTAGGGTTAAGAAGAGTCCCCTTTAAGGGTCTCCCTAGTACTACCTGGGATTTCGGAGGCACAGGAACGGACTCTGCTGAACGGCTGTGAACCAGCTTGCCCCCTGATGCGCCGGAGTTCTCTAGCCAGCAGCTCATTTGGGGGGTGCTTAAGATCCTATGGATTTCAGCATGGTTTGGGGGCATGTCATAGTATATCTATATCAAACAACCCTGAGGAATCTTGGTTCTCTTAAAGTTTGTAGTATTAGGGAGACCAGTTAAAGGGGACCCTTCTTAACCCTACTTCTGGTACTCTTAAAGTTGGGACCTCCCTGAGAGGATCTATATTCTCTATGGTCCCCCTCTTCCGAGCTCCGCCGAAAGGCCAATGCCATCATCCTAGAGCCCGAGACCCGTAGTAGATCACGAGTTGTCGGAAGTGTGAGAGCTTATAGGGTTTATGGGGTTGTAGGGTGTGGGGGTCAGATGTCTTAGGGGTCTTAGGGTTTAGGGGATCTTAGGGTTTAGGGTTTAGGGGTCTTAGGCTGCAGTGTGAGTTAGAGGTCTTAGGGGTCTTAAGGTTTAGGGGGTCTTAGGGTTTTGGGTTTAAGGGTCTTAGGCTGTAGTGGGATTAGAGGTCTTAGGGGTCTTAGGGTTAGGGGGTCTTAGGGTTTAGGGTTCAAGGGCCTTAGGCTGTAGGGTTCAGGGTTTGTTGACTGAAGTGTGTTGTTTTACCAAGCAATTGGGCGAGACCTAAACCTACATCGGAAACCGTTGAGTCCCGCCGTCGTTGACCGTACACTGCATGGCATCGCGAGGTTCGGATTTCCGTCTTTGCCGTCGACAACATCAAAGTCTACAAAGACTTCGGCCAGCGGAATGTTCGCGCCCCAGAAACACAAAGCACAAGGGATGATCTAGGCAGTAGATCCCCAAATTTAAAGCCCAAACCTACACAAGGGTGCCCTAAACCCCGAAACAATAAATCCCTAAACCCGAAATCCAAAACGAAAGCGTGCTTTATGGGAACCACCTTAGGGGATCTACTTCTTGGATACATCCCCCAAGGGTTTGGGAAACCAAGATCGGTGCGAGGATCTAGCCTGCGCGTCCTTGTCATCTTCCTACTTTCAAGGGTCATGGGACTTAGTAGCTAGTATTACACTTAAGGTAACTATACCTGTACGCTCTTGTAACCCCAATTCAGGTACTTATAACCTTACTTACTAAGTCCCATGATCCTCCAAGTACAAGGAACCCGTTCTGCCGAGACCATCACTGAGACCCCAAAACCCTAGGGTTTAGGGTTTAAACCCCAAACCCCCCAACAAATCTCCCCATTCGCCGGACGCCCAACGCCCTAAGCCCCCAAACCCTTCACACTCAAATGGCCCCCAGGGTGAGAGCAAAAGAAGATTCTCTGTATAATATCTGCAACCAAGAGTGTCCACACATACCACCATTATAGAATGAGGTCCCAGAAAGACAATGAAAGGGATGATCCTTTGGGACCCAATTCCATAATAGTAGTATATTTGGACCCTTACGGCAATCCTCAATATGCCAACCCGAAGCCCCCGCGGCTCCTGAGGACCTCTTCGTGCAGATGAAGTTCAGGACTTTGACGCTTTCGCTTGCCTCTGGCCTAGACCTCTAAACCCAAAACCCATTATACGCCCCAAATAGATCATGGGATTTGCCCGAGGGGCCCATGTACCCGGTCAAAGCACCCAAGATGTGGTTTCGAGCTTCTTGTGATTTTAGAAGAGGTTCAGGGTGCTTCAGATGCATGAATATAGGGGTCGGAATAATGCTCCTCAGGTTTGCCCTAATGCCTAAACCCAAAACCTTGTAGGGCTTGAGGTTCAAAGTTTGGGGTTTCCTCAACCATAAACTGCACTCTGCGCAGCGGTCGGGGTGTTCTCACAAACCCGGATTCCTAAACCACATAGGAGCGTGAACATGGACGGGGAAGAGTCGAAGCGAGTGGAGGACCGCTGAAGGAAGTGCTTGGTTTTCGCGGTGGTCGGGGTGGGGTGGGTTCCGCTTCGGACGGCAACCCTAAGAACTAGCCATTTAGGGTTTATGGTTCTCACACCCCCAAGTCCTAAAGCACTACTCAAGCCATATAAAACCCTTACATAACCCCTAATCGTACAATAAGAAGTTCCGTTCCCTAAGCACTCAGTGGCTGAGTTTGGCAATGGTTGAAAACTTCGTTAATTTTTGAAACATTTAACTGTTGGGGCTTCTGAAATGGGCAACTCGGACAAGGAGATCATTAAACGCCGACAGAGCTGTTATTCGTTGTTTGATTTGAGGGTTCCGACAGACTCTAAAACCTGCTATACTAGTGTAGCTGTACTTCATGTTCAAGATCTCTCTATGAGCCACGGTATCATTGAAGGTTTTGGGGTGCCAGGCTGGATATCCAGCAACAGTTTGGTAAAGCTCTCCGTATACCTGCTCTGTAAAGATTGCCCTCAACGATATTCGTAATCTGCAGGCACAGATTTGTTTGCGTACCCTGTGCATTCACGGCTGGGCCCTGAACCCTGCCCCCCCCCCCCGGATGTGTGAGCGTTCACACACCCTGAGAGTCCATGTACCTATGTAGTATGACTACAGTATGACAGTTTGCCCACACAGATGTTCTGGTGTAGTAGCGTTACAACCAACCAGCTGTCCCTTTCCAAGCGGGTCCATTATTATGTACCACAAGGTTTTCAAAACTATAATAGTTCAGGGGGTTGGAAAGCGAGCCTGGGATTCACAGAGGGGTCTTGGATCTCCAAAACAATAATAATTACTCTTAATGGGTTTTGGTAGCACGTTCGGGGCTTTTGGCTAACTTGGAGGTTCGGGGCACTTAGTAAGTAGCTGTGTGCAGACTTACAATCAGACTAACCAAGTAACCCCAGCTAGGACAGCTAGGACCTCTTTTAGGGAGTTGGAAATGCACAATCGCGGACCCTTTAAGTTTTAAGCGTCCAAATGCATGACCGAACAATGAATACAGGCCCCTAAATAATGAGGTTCCCCTTTTCACAATAGTATATGAATAATGGGGCCCAAAACCCATGCTAATTATTAAGGCCCCTACATTAGGTGCGTGGTTTAAGGTTACCGGTTAGTAGTTCATCAAGGTTTAAAGCAGGCACTGCTCGGTGCGGACAACTTGCCCCTCTCCAACACCGTAAATCACAAAACGACACCCATAAAGCCAGACCGTTGCACAAATTACTATCTTTAACCCGTATGAAAGTAGAGTCGTGGAATGCCTTGCGGGTTTTGTTTAGATCCCTCGTGGCGTCTGGAAACACCCCTAAACCCTAAACCATAAAGCAACCCGAAAACCCAAACCCTAAACCCACATGTTGCTGTGTGCAGAAAACGGACATCCATCGATGGGCCAATGAAGATGCGAGCTTCAATCAGCGCTTTCTGCAACATGGCCTGAGGGTTTAGGGTTTTAGGGTTCAGGGTGGTCTCGTTTTGGGGGGTTTAGGCTTTAGGGTTTAGGGCATTGCTAGAAATGCCTGATAGCACTCTTAACGGTAGCCTATCGATTTTGTTCAAGGTCCTGGACTTTGTGAACAGTTTGACGGGTGCCACAGGTGTTTTGCTGGGATCTGGTTTCTATTCGTGGGGTGCCTTCTTCAGGGGTCCTTGCTTACAATGAAAACATGGTCATTTGGTGGCTGCATTAGACTCTTTCATTTCCTGAAATGCCCTTGCAGATTGCAACCTTCGGCATTTGGGGGGGTATCACAGTACCACACTTCATCCTATCAGTGGAGGGTTGTGAGTTTATAGTAGCTTTCGGGATCTTGCGGCGTAAAGAGTACAGGGCCATACTATGATGAATCCTTTCGTGGACCCGGCTTCCTGATACAAAAGCCCTAAGGGTCCAAGTACCCAAATAGTAAGCGCTTAGGACGCATAGTAGACTATCCTCCGAATGGTTATTGGTACCTTAAACCATAATTTTTGAGCACTTGACCTGTAGGGAAGGTTTAGTCATGTCCTCCCTGTTCAGCACTGCGGCAAAACCCTAAACACTAAACACTTACAGGGCATTGGCCTGCGTATTCGGCTATAGGCAATACAGTGCTTCAAGGGTGAGATGTTGCTATATAGTTGGGGTACTCCCAAATAAGAGTCCATAGATGCAGGATCCTTCATCCTACCTACAGTAAACCCCAAAAAGTTGGACACCAGGTTAAGGCCAAATAGTGCTGGGATTCCCAGTGCATTACTCTTAAGGAATGAGGCTATTGGGTTTCCAACTTTTTGGCTTCTACTATAGTGCGTGCTGCTTCCCACTACTGGGCTTCTCCCATCCTGGCCAGCAACGCCACGGCTGCACCGTCGTGGCAGCGCCTGGAGGAGCATACGGGTGGTTGTCAATATTATGGTCCCTTCTTGGGTGCTCTAAATATTAGGTGCCGTAAAATGTTAGGGGCCCAAAGAGGGACCATAATTCTGACAACCACCCAGATCAACGTCCGCTACAAACAACTTCGCGCATATGGACGTCATCGCCAAGAGAGGCTTTCAGTCGACGAACCGTGCATAGCTTTGACACTGTGGTAGTACAGGGGCCTAAATAATTACCGACACTATCTTGGGGGCTCCTTATTATGATGATTATTATTATTATAGTATGATGTACCCCAAAACCCTATTGTAAGTCTTAGAAGGCACGGCCAGCATTTTGCGCATTGACCTTCGACGCCTGTACCATCATCAGCAACTTTTGCAGGGAGGAGTCGGGAAAACCCGATGGGACATACAACCGATGTACTCGCACAGGGCGCATGACTACGTTGTGGAGGAGTTCAGGTGTGGCATTGTCGGGTGTCATTTTCTACCAACAATCCGCTGAAGCTCAAGAATTGCTTGATGGTGCTTCCGAAGAATGCACGAAAGCAGGCCCGAGTTCCGCTCAGCAGCGTCGGCCTTCACCGCCTATCGAGGTGGCCCACTGAAACCGAGATTCTGTTCCCTCCAGTCAGGAGCTGCAGCATTTCAGAGCGATGCCGCACACCCGACAACACGTTTCAATTGGACAAGTAGTCCATGCCATCCCACACCCCCGCCCTAAAGCCCAAATAGGCCTTAAGTACTTTAATCGGGGTTATAAGTAGTTATAAGTACAGTTACTTTAATTATAACTTATTCCCCTACTTACTAAGTCCCATGATCCTATAAGTATGTCTGAAGGGGGTCGAGGATGCCACCCAACAGCGTTGAGGCCACCAAAGGCGGAAACTCCGACACTTGCCCAACACTTCACCCCAAACTTTCACTGCAACGGCCCGGCACTCCTGTAACGATGTGACGGCTCAAGTAGACCAAGCCAGCCCCAAACCCTACGTGCCAGGAGCCACCGCCACGTAGCCGTGAGCTGCACCCAGTAGAACTTCCAGAAAGATATCCAGCATCATCTGGGTTAGCACGGGGCTTATGCCTAAACCAAAACCCCTAAACCCTAAGCCTAATCCCCAATCCCTGAACCCCAGACCAAAAACCAAACCCTAATCGTAATCCCTAAGAGACCTAAACCCCATCACTTCTGCTTGGCCGGTAGTTGTGTGCCCCAGGTTTGAAATGAGCGCACCGTGCTTATCGATGGGTGTGGAGCTTCTTGGCGGGGGGTTTAGTGTAGCGTTCAAGGTTTAGGTTTTTCCGGTTTAGGCTTTGTGTCTTTGCCGTCTGCTACCGTCGCTACCCTACTACAGGTATGCTGCAGAAGCCAGTATGCCCCGCAAGCCCAAGCCCGCAACCCTAAGTCCGTCGGTCCCGAATCGCACGTCAAAGGAATCCAAAATGACACCTTAAGCTTGAGAAACGTTGTAACGCCAGTTCATCGAAACGCACACGGATTAATCTGCCTTACCTTGAATCCCGAGCTATAGACTACCTCCGAAAGATAACGCAGCCCAGCTGACTCCTTCAACCCCTTATTCAGAGCACCGCACGTCATGTAATTCGGCTGTAGAGAACCCAGGGACGCTTCGTTCAGAGAAATGTCGGTTTAGGCTCTAGGGTATCTAGGATTTTGGGTTTACGGTCTGTCAATCTTGCTAGGGGGGTTGCTGCCGGATGCAATCTTGGATGAAAGTTGACCTTGATCGAAACCTTCCCCCTCCACTTACCCATCTCGAAACCCAAAGCGTCCAAGTATCATTATGGTAGATATTTTGACCCCCAAAATACCCTATAAGTATATACCATAGCGATACTTGGACCCTTTGGGGAAACACACGAACCATCCCGATCCTGGGGGTCAACCCTGAGGGTCCATGTACCCAAATAGGAGTTTCCGAAAATAGGGGTACCTTATTTAGGGGTCCTTATAATAAGGATCCTACTATTTAGGGTCCTATATTCGGTTCCCCTATTTTCGGAAACTCCCAAATAGTGTATACCTTGGCCCCAAACTAGCATTATCGGAATTACTTGAAGGCCAATGTGTATACTATGTGAGTTCATAGACCCTTATATCCTCTAAACCCTTGAAGGAACCCTTATATGAAGGAATCCTTAAAGGAACCCTTAAAGGAACGCTTAAAGGAATCCTTAAAGGAATCCTTATAAAAGGAATCCCTCAAAGGAATGGCAGGACGTCTGGAGCAAAGGCGTCCGCATGGTATCCTTAGGAGTGCAGCGGTCCCTTCTTCAAGGGTCCGTATGCATGAACATTTCCCATGACGGAGCAGCTGGAAGCCAATCGCCGACTAGTCCCCATGTCTCACGGGCACTTAGCTCCTGTGAGAGGTGACGAGAGATTTGTGACGTTGGCTACCTCGCACACAACGGCTTTTTCAAAGCCGTTGAAGCAGGATGCCAATGCGGCGATGCGAGTGTCCACGTGAAGCAAGTGGAAGACGTGCTCACTGGGTGGACGTGGCTCGTGGTCTCATCCCTCGTTGAGCAAGCTTGCCCGGGTGTCCCTTTTTGCCAGCTGGCAAGCAATGCTTCCGCTTCCGGGCAAAAGCAGATCGCCGAAAGGGTCCATGTGCCCAAATAGTAGATACATTGGCATTAGAGTAGTCCCTTTATATATAGCTGCTTTGGGGCCAAGGTATATACTATTTGGGTACATGGACCCTCAGGGTAGTAGATTAGAATTGTAGTACATTGCCATGCAAAACAGCTATTCTAATCATCGAGGCATCTGTATGAAACGCGAAACCTTCACCCTTAAAGCGTTAAACCCGTAGCCCCTATGCCGTAACGCCGTAACGCGTAACCTTAAAATATCCTGAACATGAAAAGCCCTTAAACCCTAAACTTAAAAGTCCCCAAGCAACTACTTAATGGTTCATTGGACTTAGTAACGAGGGTTATATAAAACAAATTATACTTAGAACTGCTTATGATCCCATGTAAGGTACTACCCCAAGTCCAAGCCTTGCAACCAACGCCCCGAAGCCCCAAGGGTCCAAAGGAGCCAATAATACGGTAATTGGGTTTAGGATAGTAGTTACGTAGGTTCACATTCCTAGAGGACTGTTTGATCATACTTTGGGTGGTCATGCCCGTCGCGCACATGAAAAGTACAGCGGGTGATCATATGAACTTTGCGAGGTCATATGATTTTCAGGTGTTTTGAGGAAATCTACATTTTGGCCTCAAAAGTTAAGTTCGGGCCCGGCAAGTATCAGCCACTTGATCCACTATTGAGCCGTTTGAGCCGTCTTAGAACCGAAACTTTAGGGTTTAGGGCCATTAAGGGTTTAGGGACTTAGGGTTCAGGTTTTAGGACTTAAGGGTGTTTAGGGTGGTTAAGGTGTTTAAGGTTCAAGTTTTAGGGTTTCAAGAGATTCGGAGCACCGTTGGCGGGGGTTTTGAGAGAGGAATTGGATGGAAGAGGGGTGCTGAATCAAAGTAATACAACGATGCAAACTGCATGGCAGCTAGGCCAGATTGCATAGATTGTAACTGACGGCTTGAGGTCAGTGATGCTGAATGATTTCTTGAGTTCTTGGTTTGATGTAGGCCCGGCTTTGGGAAATCCCGATCAAAGTACAATGCCGACTTGCTATACCTGGGGCTGCCTTTCTTCCATATAGGAACCATCTTAGCCAAACTTAATACCCTCCACCAACCCTAACCGCCCTAACCGCGACGACGACGATCTTCGACCCTGGTCTACGACGAATGCCGCGGACTCAGCTTTTCCACACTCCTTCGCCCACACCTCCGGCAGTGCCAGCAACCACCGTTCAAGAAGCCTCTGCTCTGCTGTCTGACAGCTAGTCATCTTCAGCACCCTCATGAGCTTCTTCAATGAATCCTCATCCATCCAGGTGGAGTAGTTTGCAGGATTCGTCCTGCTCGGAGGTGAGTTTCGGAACACGTGACCCAAAATATGAAACTTAGGTCGCATCCGAAAAAGCGGCTCGCGATCCTGCAACATATGTTGGGCCATCATCCTGTAACTCTTCATGAAGAGCTGGCCGAAAAACTCCTTGTTGCGTTGCTGCTCCACAGTCAGCTGTTTCTCGGCATTATGTAGCATGGACATCACGTGTGTTGCACACCAAACTGCAGTGCAAAGCTCGCGGGGCAGAAGGTCGCGGTTGGCCTCACACAAAGTCTGTAGCCATTCCAGCACCACATATGTGTCGTAGCCTTTGCTCATCAATTCAGGGTAGGATGTTTTACTTTTCATTCCCAGCTTGTTCTTCGTAAGCTTGTGCAGCGCAAGAGGCAGCTTCCGCGACTTAGCAAAAGCCTTCAGCTTACTTGTTGCGTCGGCAAGCCGGTCCGGTATATTGTCGCCCGCCAAGATTGAATAGGATTGGCCTTTCCGCTTCAAGATATAAACTATCACGCTTGCAGCGAGGTCCCGTCCAGTTCCAAGGTGCCATACATGTAGCAAATCTACTTGGATCAATCGCAAGTGAAAACCAGAAATGGATGTATAGGTGGGCCTAAATCGCCAGGGTGGCCTTTGATACATGGTATCCCAGTATGGCGCATCGGGATTCACGTTGGTGTAACCAAGGTGCAAACTGTTGGCATCCAGGCCTTTTGTTGCACAGCACATCCAGCAGATCTGCAGGGCGGAAACCCAGTACCTAGGAAACCTGGTCACTATATATAGCCAGAATTGATACATCAACCTCCCAAGCTAATAGCATCATCTTATCTTTAACTTGAGCATTACTTAACGTATTCCAGTTTGTACCCTACCTCGTCGCGGTCGGCATATCTGTCAAAGTTGAACACCTGCTTAAGGGCCTTCCAGTCGCCGCGGAAAGCCGTGACGAAGGCGTGCAATCTGAGAACCTGGGATTGGGATTATGAGCGTTCAGGGTTTAGGGGCTTAGGGGTTAAAAGGGTATTTTAGGGATTTGGTTTAGCTTTATCGATGGACATTATATGAGATAAGAACTTTGCTAAAGATTCCGCTATAAGTCACTTTGGCACGACTGGCCGGATCCACAATAGATACTCCAGTTGTAGACAGGCAATTGAAGCTGTCAGTAATGGCTTGGCAAGCACTTTGAAGAGTCAAGTTGACACCGTTGTCGGGGTGGATTATATACCGCTCTGCTGGGATGATGGCTATCACCATTCTGGAAGCAGAAGAGTTCGTCAGATAGGGGGACAGTTCGGAAGTCCACATCAAGAACATCCACAGCGAATTGATGCAACTCGCTTCATCACCTTGTTGATTCGGGTTAACTTATTCTAGTCTTGACTTCCTGGGATAAAAAAGGCATATAAAGTACAACAAAACCACTATGGAAAGCATCATTTAGACACAATAAGTCGCAGTACATTGTACACCCAATCGATGAACGCTTCAGCCTTGCTTCGCTCGCCACCGGGTGTTGGGGATTGTCCAGCAAAAAACGCGACCAGAACTTCGGGATGTCGTTGAGGTCAGAGACCAAAGTGTGCAGATGGCCCGTGTCCAGGATTGTTTGCATCTGGGATGGATTCAGGGCTTGATGATTGCAATTTTTTGCAAATATCCCTATCGTATATCGAGAGGATGCGGTATATTACTAAAGCTGATGAGGGACCATGTCATGCGGTAGAAGAAAGGGCCACTCTTCATAAACCAGAGTTGCATCGTCGGCAGAAACTCTCATAGGTAGCCGCACCGAAGTGATCTTTGCAGGCAATGCTATGTCCATAGCCCTAGCCCTGTTGTGCACATCAGGCTCCCTCAGATTCCTCGGCGTTTGCCGGACATAGGTTCAATAATCTTAACCCTAAACTTTAATTTTCAAACCCTAAACTAAACCTTTCAAAACCCTAAACTTACCTAAACTACAGCCCTTGTAATTGTTCGGAGCAAGCGTCCTGAGCAAGTCGCTATCATAAATGTCTCCGATCCCACCAGCACTCCGGATGGAGGTGTAGCCACGGCCAATGTTCTCGGCAATCCTGATAGGACACGGTGTAGGGTTGGTTGATAGCGTAGGAGATAGGGTTTCGTGCACCAGGGGTTATTCAATCGTCAAGATTCGCAGCATCCAGCCGAGCTCTCGTAGTCGACTCGTCAACACCTGCGTAGGGGGCCGTACTTAAGCTATACTAAGGGTACTTGCATCTAATACACCCAATACCAACATAGTTGGAACAGACTTTTCCGTCTGGATCGAGCACATCTATCCCC